GGATGATCCCTTCAGGACCAGTGGTGAGAGTGGCGATACCAGGAGGGTGGAGGGAAGGTAGGGTAAAAAGGGGGAACCAATTACAAGGATATACATATAACCCTCTCCCTGAGGGACAGAAAACAGAAAAGTGAGTGAAGGGAGTCATCAGACAGTGTAAGACATGACAAAACAATAATAATTTAGAAATTATCAAGGGTTCATGCGGGGGAGGGCAGGGACGGAAAGGAAAAATGAGGAGCTGATACCAAGGGCTCAAGTAGAAAGCAAATGTTTTGAGAATGATGATGGCAACAAATGTACAAATGTGCTTGACTCAATGGATGGATGGATGGACGGATTGTGATAAGAGTTGTATAAGCCCCCAATAAAATGATTTTTTTTAAAAACGGCATTTTATCAAGTCTAGGATAGTACACAGAGTGGGTTGTCAGCGCAGAACAAGCAAGTGATGTAAGATTTTCTTTACTGTGCTTCGGAGGGTGGGGAGGTAGGCAGGGGGTGGAGTGGGGGTCAGGGTGGGGTCATCCAAGGACAATGGGAACAAATACAGTTCTCTTAAATAGGTGAATCCAAACATATAGGTGGACCCCGTATGTTCCAGAGTAGACTCGCTCCCTAGGATTTTCTTGCCTGTCATCTTTATGGAAGTGGATTGCCAGGCCTTTCTCCCTCCAGCAACTGGATGATCCTGAGCTGCCCACCTTCAGGTTCACAGCCAGTGGGAAACGGCTTGCCCCACTCCGAGACATTGAGACAGGCGAGGGTGTGGTTGCAACCCAGGGGCTTGGGAAATGTTTACTGAGAAAGGGCTTCGAAGGACGTGGTACTGGACAGGGCCAGCTGAGAGGGACTGGGGGTAAAAGCCACTCACTAGATGGTGGATGGACCTGAAAGCTTGCTGAGGGTATCCCTAGTGAGAATGCAGAAAAAGAGTGGCAGGTTTTCAGCCGTGCCTTCTGTCATAAGGGGAAGGTTGTTTGTCTCCATTTTCCTGCAGAAAATGCTGGGCAGCCTTCAGAAAGTTCACTGCACCCTCCCGCTATAGGGGACTGACTCATGGTTACATCAGGGGACTCACCTTTTCTCCTTTTTCTTTTTTTAATCCAGTTGCAAAGCAGATGACGGCCTCCTTAGTGACCCCCACCCCCACCCCCTGCTCAAGGAGAGCGAAGCCGTTCCAACAGCCCCATTACCTTAATGACCTGAAACCATTCAGGGAATAGAGTTGGGATCCACTTCGTCACATGTAGTTAATGATAATTTCTTGGAAAGCTGAATATTAATTCTTGGGGATTTCTGCAGCCCTATGAAAATTCATATCACCTGGTAACCCAGGTGGGTGGAAGGTTGGTTTCCAATGACTGCTAAGAAGATATAAGAGAGGTTGCAGAAATAATAAATAGGCTAGCGCTGAAATCTAATTAGCCACTGCATATGTTAATAATAAATTCAATTAAATGAGCCTTCTACCTATGCTGGAAGAAAAAAAACGCAGCCAAAAAGAGAATTCATTTTAAATGCCTCAATCGGTACCCTCCTTTCCTGATGAGTGATTTATGCAGTAATTCCCTACTCTGTCTTCATAAGATTGTTCCAAACCAGCCCTTCTGAAATAATAATAATTTCTGAATGTGTGTTGTGAGAGATATAACAAATGACTTCTTATTAATTTCCATTTAATGAGTTGCCTATTCACATGGTAATTTCTTTAACAAAAGTTTCTTCTTAAGATAAACGGGTTATAAATACTGAGGATAACCCTTCTATTCCACAAAAGAATCATGCCAGGAAAATCTTTCTCGTATTGTCTACACGATTTGGAAGTCCATCGGTTGTAAATGTTCTATATTCGATAGACGCCTATTTCTTTCTCAGTTGGGGCAGCAGGTCATTGAAGTTTTTTTGGTAGACAAGTGGCTTCCACATTGGTTAAAACACACATACACACGGACAACTGAATCCGCCACAAAGGTAGCACTAGCAGGAGATCACGGGGTGGGGGTGGGGGCTCTAGTGAGGAAACAAAGTTATGAAAGAAAAAGCAGGGTAGAATCGTTGAAGGACCCTACGAGAGTTATCCTATTTTAACCAACCAAACAAAATAATGCCAACACTGCTCAGCTCTCCCATTTCCCCAAATTGCCCACTCTGTAAATGGAACCGCAGAATTTCTTATCCGGAGCAGGACTAGTGAAGAACGGTTTTAATTGCTACTGTTTTCCAAACGTCCAATTACTGGACGACGAAGCAATACTTGACAACAGCAAGGCGGAAGTCATTAATAACTGCACCAGATGAAGCCGGGAAGTTGCTCTCGGGAGCCCTGTTTCCTGGGACCGTTCGGAGCTCGCGTTAGCAGCCCCACAACAGACAGACAGGGCAGGGACCTTAACAACGATTCCTCAGACCCTCGAAAGAGTACGACCAGAGTAGTCAACCTTTCGGACGCAATGGCTACTTACAAGTAAACCGAAAAGGCCTGTCTCCCAAGCCGCACTGCCTCACGCCCTCTCCGTGGAAGAGCCCGTAGTGCATCTCGCCCGTGAACTTGTCCAGTTCCTGCCCCGAGGCGTTGACGAGCAGAGCCCCCGTTTTGCAAAGGAAGGTGGCTTTGATCCACAACGGTGTCCCCAAGGCTGTCACGACTCCCAGGGCGCACGCAAAGCTTAGCACCCCGGCCGTGCAAAAAAGGACCTTTTTCTGACGGCTTGGCATGGTGAGAACCGGCGTTTGTGAGGGTGACCAGAAGGCGCCGCGTGGCCCTGTGGCCGCATTTATTACGGGGTTGCGCAGACAGATCCCGGCTGGAAAAGATGCCTTTCACCGCCGCCGCTGGCTCTCTGCCGATTACTCAGCCCTGGAAAGCCAGCCCAGGGTTTCTTCCTCACGGGCTGTTAGTTTTCTTTCTGCGTCTTCTCTCTAAATGGAAATCTTCGGACTGGCCATCTGTAAAATAAAACTCTTTCGAACTGCCTTGGGGTATACCCTCCTCTGGTGTCACTTGGTAACAAAGGTTTAAGATGACAGATGGAGTCCTGCGTGTAACTTGATAAACGCCACCCCTTTTCGCCTCAGCCTTTTGTCTGATTGGATGAGTTGAAACTTTCAGAAAGCAGGTTTAGTTCCTATAGTAAGCATTTCACCAACTCGAGCAGTTCAAGTTTATTAATCTTTTAAAAAAATTATTTTTTTTTTAGATAAGGGGAGACGAACTGTGTTGGAGGAAGAACATATCCTTATCTTTTGGTGATGAATTGTCGTTGAGAATGTTAATTGTAGCAGGATAAAATACTGGATTGAATTGGTCTCCGCATGGATTTGCCATGTCCCAGCTGGGGGTCCTCCTAATTCTATGGAATCCAAATCTGTGGTTTAGAAACAATGTATCAAAAATGAATTTTATTCAAAATCTTCTTGGCACGCAGCTATGCGGAGAGACTCAGGGTCAACTTTCTGAACAACCTCCTTTCAAGCATTTTGCTACTTTTAGATAATGACAAGGGGATGTGGTCCTGAGTTTAAGGGTGTCACAACCAGGGGAGTAAACAAGCGCAATGCCCTGGGAAGATCAGGGTGGTCAGAGAGTCCACACGAAGAACTGACCCTGGAAAGCAAGGGTCCACGTGGAGGTAATTCATTAGGGAGACACGAGGTACAATTGGGGGCAAGATGAAGGAGCAGGGTCTCACGAAAACTCATTGCAACTCTGTCAAGGCAATTCTGCCTCATACGACCCTGTAGGATTGGTTAGGACTGCCCCAGTGGGTTTCTGAGACTGTAACTCTAATGGGAGTAGAAACCCTCATCTGTTTCAGGCTGGGCAGCTAGTGGTGGCAAACTGCTGCTGGGGGAGGCAACCCAACGGTTACTACATCACCAGAGGTCCAATAAGGATGGTGGCTTTAACTAGATGGTCCAAGCCTAAAAACTAAAGTTCAGAATTCAGTGACATATATAGAAATATATCTCTTGCCCCCAAAAGCAGAATTATTTTTTCAAAGATAGGCATTTAAATTTATTTGACAAAACAACCTTGTCACCTTAAAAGTACTTTCCATGTCACTTAATACACTTGTCAAATCTGTGATTCCATTCTTGGAAATGTTTTTTTTCAAACTCATCTGTTTGGATGGCTGACAGCACCTCTCTCTTTTTTTTTTCCTTCGCCTCTTCTACGTCATCAAATTGCTGTCCTTTCATGCCCCTCTTCATTCACAAAAACAAAAAGAAGTTGCATGGAGCAAGATCAGGTGAGTAAGATGCATGGGACAAGAGAGGCATGCTGTTATTTGCAAAAAACTGGCGCACTGAGATGGCTGTGTGAGCAGGTGCATTGTCATGGTGGCAAAAACAGCCCCCGTCTGCTACACATCAGTCCTTTTCTGTTGCACACCATTACACAATCTTTTCAGAACTTCTAAATAGAAAGCTTGATTAACGGTCTGACCTGGTGGAATGAACTCCAAATGCACTAAGAGTTGACATTTTCAAAAGTTCAGGAAGTTGATGGACGTCCAGTATGAGGTTTGTCATCAATCAACGTTTCACCTTTTTTGAAATGAGAAAAACAGTCATACACTTGAGTTTATCCCATAGCGCTGTCCTTGTAAGCTGTGCTCAACCTCACAACAGTTTCTGCAGCATTTTCCCCAGATAATAAAATTTCACAGCCGCATGCTGTTCTCATAAATCGGCCATCACAGAAAGGTTTGAACGAAACTGCTTTTATGAAAAAATTCACTGTGACCAGAGAGAACCTCCCCAGCTGATGCCACTGGGTGCACCAGCTCAGACCGAGTTGCTCAATGCTGACCGAGCAGGAAAAATGTGTACTGCAAAAGCTCTGCTCTGCCCAGCGAAATTCGGGGTTTTGGGGGGGTACCCCCTCATACGTATGCGTGTGTGTATATTTATATATATGTATGTATACATATGTACTTGTGAGTTGGGTCAAGGTTGAAAGAGCATATAATCAACTATTTTATATTCAACTACTCATATCCATTGGTGTCACCTTATTGATTGCAATCCCTCAGTTTAATAAGCGCCCTGGTGGTGTGGTGGTTTTGCGTTGGGCACAAGGTCAGCCGTTCGAAACCCTCAGCCAGCTGTTTTGGAGAGAGCTAAGGCTTTCTGCTCCCTGAAAGATTCAGGCTTGCCAACCCACAGGGGCAGTTCTACCCTGTCCTGTCGGATCGCCACGAGTCTGCATGGACTCAGCGGCAGTGACTTCCTTACCCTTCCTCCTCCTTGTGTTGCTTTGTTACCACTCCTCCTACTTCCCGACCCTTCAGAGCTTTACCCGGCGTTAACGTTGTCCCTTTGATTAGTTTAAGGTCTGTGTACCTCGTTGGTATTATTCTCCTTATAGACCGGTCTTTGGATGCTTGAAAACGGAGCCGTGAGGGTGAATTCAGCTGCCCACTTGAAGGGAGGCTGGGCCAGAGTCAGAGTTTTAAAAGTGGTTGTCCTGTGTTTTCGTTCATGCTGAGAACACAATGCTGACTCATAGTAACCAGATAAGACAGACGAGGACTGCCTCATAGCGTTTCCTAGCCCTTCATTTGTACAGTCTTCTGATAGTGCCATGGGCCAAACACTGAACGGCCAACCACAAGGTTGAGGTCAAACCCAGAAGCCACTCTGCACGGAGAAAGATGAGGCTACCTGTTTCCATAAAGATTTATATTCTCAGGAATCCCACGAAGCAGTTCTGGTCTTTTCTATGAGTCAGAATTGACGTGGTGGCAGCGGATTTGGTTTAACCTTAATGGGAGTAAATCATGAGGCCTGCTCTCCCAGAGCGGTAGCTGTGAGGCTGGAACCTAGGCGAGAAGCCAAGCCCGTAACCATGGCGCCGCCAGGGCTCCTTAGTTCTTGACGGACAGGTAGTCAGTCCCGGACAGACGGTGGGGTTTCTTTATGATGATATCAGAAAACAGCATCTCGAGTGCTGAGCATTCTGCAGAGTTGACCTAAGTTGAAAATGTACTCTGTTTTTACTTTTTATTATTACTGACATTTATCAACAGTAACTGTATCTAGATAAATCTGATATCTATCTTTTGGGGGCTGGAAGCATTACAGATAGACTCATAGATTTATTTTAATACAGATACTCATGCATTAAAATATAAAAATTTACTCCAACAATGAAGAAGAATTGGGCCTTGTTGGCGTTTTGTCGGTTGCTGTGCCACACCCATTGTGGGAGGTTCTAGGTCACCTGAATTATCTCTGAGAAGGGGATGGTGTTTCTAGCCTGAAAATTGGTCAGAGTGGTTTGTGCGGTCCTTTTCTCTTGGGTGCATATATTTCACAGTAATATCATACTGCTTCCTGGACCAGCCTCTCAACTTTAACAAAATAATCAGCCCACATTCTCCAGCAACTGAATTCTTGGATTTAGTTTCAATTTCAAAACTCCAGCTAATCTTTCTACTGTAAAATGTTTTAACAGTTTTATTGACCTGTAATTCATATTTCATACAATTAAATAGTTCAATCATCTTATAAAAAGAGTTGTGCAATCATTACCAGTTTTAGAACATTGTCTTCTTTCTTGTGCTTATGTTTGCTAGCTTCCCATTTCCCCTTCCACCCCAATGACCTCTGACATACCCTAGGAAATTAGTCATTTAGCCCTCTCTTTACATATCTCCCTATTGTGTGAGTCTGGGTTGACTAGAGAAACAAATCCAGAGAAACTCATATGTATAAGAAAGAGTTTTATAGCAAAGAGCAATTGTATATTAAGAAAATTTCCAAGCCTGGTCCAGATCAAGTCCATAAGTCTGATATTAGCACATATGTCCAATAACAGTCTATGAATTCCTCTTCAGACGCATGCAACACATGCAATGATGCCAAATGCAGGAAGGTCACAGGCCAGTGGGTGGGAGGTCTTGTGGAACCAGTGGCAGTGGAAGCATCTCAGCGCTGGTGTGGGTCTCCATGTGGCTCTTCCAGCTCCGGGCTCTGGCTGCCAGCAGTATAGCTCCATGTGGCTTGTCAACAGGAATGTCTCGCAGGGAGTGAGAGAGTGTCTG